ACAAAAAGGACTACGTGAAAGTTGGCACCATACTAAAATATGGACCAGCAAAAAGGGGTGCGAGCACGCGAGCAACCCTGTGGAAGACAACTACGGTAATTCGAGACCACCACCTGGCAGCTGTCCCATTTTTCGCGGTGAAAGAAGAAAAGAGGGGGGGGGGCAATCGACGATCCCCCAAACGAAGAAGAAGCCCCCAAATGGCCTGAGGGGCCACTCCAAAGGCCCAAAAAGGGGAGGAGGGGGATAAAGTACGGCCAAACCTAACCGGGGGCATAAGTAGCCAAAAGAAGAGGGGGCGGATGGGATGGGTGCCACCACTTTGCGATTCTAGCTGATTGCAGCCCGGCCAAAAATGGGCCCCACCTAGACGTTCAACAAACAAAACCGAATTTGTGGGAAGAGGTCACAAAATGGCTTCAGGTCCGCCTGGACTCGGGGTTCCTGGCCCAAAGATCGGTAGAACTTCGGTGGACGGGTGTTAGGCGAAACCGGCATTACCGTACGTTTCAGGGGTTAGTGGAGCGTATCGGAATTGATCGATTTGTAAAAAACAAAACGCCCGAAATCCCGAAAAACTATAGAAATAACGAAAAAAAGTTGGAGCCTAGGAACTGTTTATTTTACAACCGATCAAATCATACAAACAAAACTTCACAAAAGCGAACCAAAAAAGCTGGATTCAGGTGCTTTCCCATTATCGCGGGGGGGATTGTCGGCTAAACCCAACTCCAACTTTTACTGGGACTCCAGAAATGACTAGTAGCGTAATCGTAAATATTATAAAACTGTTTTAATAAGCTTCAACTATATTTCAAGCGAAAAAAATATCCAAAATTTACGCAACCTTTTTGAAAATTCTTGATTTTTGTAAGTTTTCGTAAATTCGGTTATTTTTAGTGGAAAGATTGCATTTTATATTGATAAACTTTGCAAAGGTTTTACGTCGTAGAATAGGAAAAAATCGCCTGGAAAAATTTGGCTACACTTTACTTTACCCCCCCCCCCCCCGGCGCCGGAATGCTTTGTTATAATCTTTTTATTTAACATTGTAGCCTCAGATTAAAACCCTTAGTATATTTTTCGGCACCCTATAGAATGGCGTTGCAAAAATGTCGACAAAACACGCGAAAATACCGAAAACTTTGAGACCCTTCGGCTGTGGGCGGGGTTGGGGGAGGGGGGGGGGTAAATTAAAGTCTTACCAAACGATTTACGCTAGAGGAATTGGATCCAAAACAAAAAGTTGCCCTCCGCCCCGATAATGCGCAAGCACCTAGATTTATTTTACCGAAAAACAGCCGCCGCCCATCCCTGGCGCCAATCCAAAAAATTCATTTCCACACGGGCATGTCAATTTCAGAGGCGCGAGCTTCTCCCTCGTGGCAAAAGAGGGGGGCAGGGGATGTTGCGGTGGGTGCAAGATTAGGGCGAAAATGGGCAATGTTTTTGGATGAGCAAATGGAAGCGCCTAGAAGCCCCCCTTAGAGGCAATGAGAACTCTGGAATAGATCACAAATCGAGGCGAGTAGACGCTAGAATGGCAGAAAAGGGGGAGGAAGAGAAAGAGTATAGATGGATGTGGAGTGCATTCAACCGGACCAAGAGGTCAGATTAGTGCATTCCCGGCCGGCCGCCGTCGGCCCTCCGCCCATTTTTTATCTGCCGCAAAGGTGAAGCGCAAAAAACGTGCGGGGCATTAGTTTTTGAGAGACACAAGGGTCACTTCAACTTTGAAGAAAGTAGCAGCAGCGCAGGAAGTGTACAATTGGATTAGGGAGCACACACCCAATTCTCAACCCGAGTAATTTCCATTTAAAATAATAAATACTATTTAGAATTCTTAACAATATATTTTGAAAGGCACCTCCCTTTGTTAGGACACGCGCCAAAAGCCGTATAATCTGCAGAGGGCATCGGCTCGAATTGCCCACGAGGGGTCCACCCACAGGGCGAATTGGTGTCAAATGTCCTCCTAGATCGCGGGGGCTTCAAGGGGCAGATAAAGCCGACGACTCCCCATCCTTAATACCGGCTTTGTCGAGTTAAGCCGATTCTACCTTTAAGGATTTTTTAAGTTTTGAAAGCAGGATTTTAGCGGGATAAATTCTGAATTTTTTTTAGTATTTCGAACGGGAAGTTAAATCTTTCTTTTTCCTAAAAAATAGATATCCAGAATAGTAACGTCATAGCAAATGTGTTAGTTATTTTTCAGTAAAATTTAGTTTTTTTCAAGGCCTATGTATTGAGAAAACCTATAAAAAAATTAAATTGCGCATTTGGTCAGAAAAAGCCACGTTTTTCGTAGCTTTAATAAAAATTTTATAAAGTTTTTTACCCTTAGAAATAGTAAAAAACGTTTGAAAAGACTTTTATATTAGAAAAATAGATTCTCCAGACTGATTAAATAGCACCCCAGTCATCGTACCACGCCCCGCCTGATACAAGCCCTAGAAAACTATCTTTTTCGCTTTTAGCACGAGATTAAGTGTCCAAAGATGTAGGTGGGGGTTTCGCGAACGAAGACACTCATGCTCACGGTGGGTTGAGAAGAGACAGGGAAATACACACTAATTCCCACAAAACCTCCCACTCAAACAGGGGCACGAGGCCGGGAGGATTAGGGGGGATATGCTGGATCTGTGTAGCGAATTCAGAAAGGGCAAAATAAATCAGATTCTTAACAATGAAAGTTATAAAGTTGGCGAGAAAATGGAAATATGCGTAATAGCGGTGAAAAGTTATATTTTGCAACAGGAAATTGCATAAACCTAGGCCTAAAAAATTCACTAATTTTCGCGTACATATTAAAATTTAATAAATTGACGAACAGATAAAAACCTTAATAGCGTTAAATAGTGCTGCAAAAATTTTCATAAAGCAACAAAAATTACAAAACTAGAAGCGTTAAAAAGACACAAAATCGTCCGATCCTTCTGCTGTATGTTGCGACTCGCAAAGCCCTAAAAATAACCCCCCGACGTACCTAATCGAGCATTCCGATCCTTTACAACCCGTCGACACGGCATATGCAAAGAAGAAGCATCAAACACACGCCCTATTCGCTTTCATCCACTTGCAAAAGCCGCGTGCCGCAGAAAAAGGAGGCAGCAGATAGTATTTCCAGAAGCACGAACAATAAATTGAAAAAATTCGCAATCAAGGGAGGAAGAAAACGAACGCTCCCTGACGCTGCGCACGCTAATGACGGTGGGAACGCTGAATTATAAAATAGGGGTTTAGAGGTCTGAAGAATATCAGCATCCTGTCACAATCCCTATAAAAAGGCGGTACTTGACTATTGGCGGGGAGCTAGGCTCATCCTACAGGTCCTTAGGGTTCGAATAATCAAAAATGGAGCATTTATATAGTTTTTTTATGGGTTTTTAATTAAACAAGGTCGTAGAAAAGCATTAAATTGTATGCTTTTTGTCAAGAATGTATGAAACCAAAAATTTAAATTTTTGAAAAACTGGGAGTACTGAAAAGCTACTAAAAACATATATATATATATATCCACTATAAAACGCTAGCAAATTTTTGCTATTGACGTATTTATGCCCCGGTCCCCCCGCTAACAGTCCAGTACCTTAAATGTCAGGATCCCTGGGGCCCTGCAAAAACGTCTAACCCCAAAATTTGGCCCACCGGAGAGAGCTAAAGAAAAAGGATGCTGGGGGTTGAACTCGAGCGTCCCGGGGCAAATTGTCTACATGTGGTGGGTGTGCCTGCCTCGTTGAAGGGGGCGGGGGCTCCTATGTGCCCATAATGAGGACTGACCGAATAATTCAGGACACGGCCCGGACACCGGACACCCTTCCCCCCTTTTTTTGCTAGGGGCTCACCTCAACCGCCTTCAGGATGGGCCAATTGAATAATAGGTGAAGCGAGCCGCGGCCCCCAGCCGACGATACGCCACAAATATTTTGGCTGGACAATTGGGGATGCCTTTAAAAGGTTCTGGTTGATTATCCGGGGGTCCATTTTCCTCAGGAATCCCGTGCCGGGCCCTATCTTCTAATTTTAACTGTTTTTATAGCATTTCAGGCTGTTTTCCTAGATTGAAAACTTCATAAAAATGACGAAACTTCCGCTACGTATAGATTTTTGCTCAAAAAAATGAAGATTACAAAAAAGGGCCAAAACTTCCAAATTTTCTAAGCTTTCAAAAAGCCTTATTTTACTATACTAAGTCGCTAAAAATGAAAAATTACTAAAAAACTATAAAATATTCTATTTTATACCCAGCATCTTTGAGCGGAAAGCCAAAAATTATCTGCCCCCGCTAACACAAAGCACCAAAAGTACAGTTATCGAAATAAAAACCCTCTGCGTATCAGAAACCAAGCTGTGTTGCAATACAACTTTTTTTTCGCCGCACGTGCCCTCAGGTAATCTCGCTGTTTTCGCCCGCCCTTTGTCAGCACAGACCCACTCAACAATGGGCTTCCGCCTGGACCCGTTGGACACAGACACACTACCCCCGATGCAATACACAGCCAAATTATCACCCCACCGTACCGCCCTTGAACTCACCCAAAAAAGTTGCGAACCAGAATCACCGCAACGACAAACTAAACCCACGCTCAATTATCCGCATCCTTTTCATCTGGTTCGAGGTCTTGTGACTGCAATTACACGGACCCCTCAAATGGCCCAGGCTGCGCGCACACAATGTCGGGAATCTAGGGTGAAGTTGAAAAGAGATGTCATCTAAAAATTGCAACTATAGTTTCCTTGGAGCCGGGAAAATTGGGTGCCTCTGAAGTGTGACTGAAACAAGGCATCCACTCAACGCTCAATGTTTTATGTAAGTAACCATAAATAAAATACATGTATCGAAGTCGGTGAAGAGGATGATAAAGGCTGACATTAATGGATGCTCAAAATGGAGAGGAGGAACGGGTTTGAAAGCTGAATCACAAAAGTTTACATCTACACCGGCATCAATGAGAACAAGGTTCCGTGTGGCGGTACCGTAAGATCGCTGGAGTAAATCATTCATCGTGAGGCTCGTAGGCGATGTCGCGGCCAAGTTCTTGGGCAAATTCGTAGTACAGCTGGGAGACATCGCGGCCAGGGTAGCGGATCTTGCTGTCCGGAGTGATGTGCACCACTAAAAAAGTGATGTTGAAAACGGTCTCAAGCCTCGAATTACAAATAAAATATAGAAACTCACAATTGCAAACACCTCCTGAACCGGCATCACGGTAAGTGGCGTGCATAATAGCGCGCCAGCCGAGCGCTTTCGCCTCCTCGTCGGTCATTTTTGCCTAAACAAATAATTTCCGAAAAAAGCTGTTACTATACCTTCCAATGGTTATCCAGAATACCGTAGGCGTTCAGCGAACCGGAGCCGACGGAACAGACCTTGAGTTGAGAGCGATCACCCTCAGAGTTGACCTGAAATTAAAAATATATTTGAGAACACCAAAACAAGAAAACTGAGCAATTAACTAACGTACCATGAAGATAGCGGGGCCGCGCTTGTCGTAACCGCAAACCATAGATCCCTAAAAAATTATGAGGTGTGAATTGCAAAATTACCACAGAGAGCCCTTGTCCTTTGTACTCGTAGAGGGCATTCGCAAAGTATTTGCTTGCTGCTGCGACCGTGATCGGCGTCTTCTCACGGAGCTCGTAGAGGCTGGAGTCGAAAAGGTCGACGAAGATGAAAATGGCCTACGTGCAATATTTAGCAACGACTCGAGTCCAGAACTGGCAATCGGCGGCACCGCCAGCCATTGTTGCCACCATTCGATCACCAATGTCGAGAACCTTCATCACCGACTTCGAAGCTGTAAAAAGATTCGGTAACCAAGAGCGCCAGAAATTGTGACGTCACAGCTAAAACCAACAGATATATTCTCCGGCGGAAGCACGGGAGTCGACAGCAATGATGATACCTCCCTTGTCATTAGGAGTGGCAGGCTCGTAGACGAAAGCAAGTGTCGTGGTACCCTAAACAAAATCTAGTAAACACGTGAGGTAGTAAACATTACCTTGCGGAACTGGAGATTCTTAGCATCTCGTCCAAAGTGGGCACCGACAAATTCCTTAGCCTAAAAAGAAATAATATGAAGATCGGGTAGATCAACCTGGATTCCCAGAGGAGGCTGTGGGAATGAGAAGCGGCTCACCGCAGGCTCATGAAGGAACTCAGCCTAAACAAAGTGAAAACAGCATTCAAAAACATACCTTGAACTCCTCGTGTCCCCGCAAATCCTCGTTATTCGACTCGGCGATGGTGCAACCCCACATCTATAATTTATTTTTCATTCAATACGAAGAAAACTTCGAAACCCATTAAATCAAGGAAAACGAGCCGAAATGTAAGACGAGGAAAAGTTTGTAGATTCAGTAAATGACGTACAAACGGCACAGGGAATCACAAGAGACCAAAAGTTCACAAATCGCAGGAAAAACGTCGGTGGTGGATGTGTAAGGTAAATGAAATGAGAGATAGACAAATTACTTCCAAAGCTTCTTGATAGACATGTTCTTCTCGGAATCCTTGGTCATCACTTTGCCGACAGCCATCTCGAAATCCTCCTGGGTAACGTGAATGCGTCTTTCACGCAGGGCGAACATGCCGGCTTCTGTGCACACAGATTTGACTTCGGCACCGCTGGCTCCGGGGATCTGTTCAGCGATTTTCCTCATGTTGATACCGCGCATCAAGTTCATCTTTCGCGAGTGGATTTTCAAAATATCAGCACGGGCAATCTCATCAGGGGCCGGGAACTCGATTTTCCTATCGATACGGCCAGGTCGCAGGAGGGCCGGGTCGAGGATGTCAATTCGGTTGGTGGCCATGATGACCTTGATGTTCTTCGTCGCCTCGAATCCGTCGAGCTGGTTCAAAAGCTCAAGCATGGTGCGTTGAACTTCAGAATCTCCTCCGGATTGGCCTTCGACGCGACTGCTTCCAATCGAATCAATCTCGTCCATGAAAATGATGGACGGAGAGTGCTCACGAGCCATCACGAAGAGTTCACGCACCATCCGCGCGCCCTCACCGATGAATTTCTGGACAAGTTCCGAGCCAGAAACACGGATGAAAGTGCATTCAGTGTGATGAGCGACGGCACGGGCTAGCAGCGTTTTTCCGGTTCCAGGCGGGCCATGCAAAAGCACACCTTTTGGCTGCGCAATTCCGAGGGCCTCGAAAAGTTCAGGGTGCTTGACAGGCAGCTCGATGACTTCTTTGATTTCCTTGATCTGCTTGTCAAGTCCTCCCACCATGTCGTACGTCGAGTCTGGCACTTTTTCGACCATCATCAGGGAGACGAGGGGGTCAACTTTGTTGGGAAGAACCTTGTGGAGCGCGTAAGAATCCGCACGAAGGGCGACACGGCATCCGGTATTCAAGAGCGTCGGGTCGATTTTCGGGTCCAAGTCAACGACGTACTTGCCCTCTGGGTGAACTTTAACGAGCACCTTCTTCTTGTCCATCGGCTTGCTCACTTCTCCAACGTATGAACCTTGCTCGTGAAGCTGTTGGAGCTCCTCTTTCAACATCCGCACCTTCGAGTTCAGCTCATTGCGCTGCGCTTGGAGACGACGCACATTCTGGCTTTTCTCGAGTAGACGCTGCTGTCCATCCTCCAACTTTGTCTTGTAGTACTTCTTCAGCGTGAGCTCCTGCTCGCTGCCGACGGGCTGAACCGTCTGCAAAGCACCGGCCATCGGGGGCATTGGCGCCATTCTGAAACAATAAGGTAGGTAAAAAAATACTATTTGAAAAAGTATTGCACCGAAATCGGCGAAGCAAAACCACTTGAACCGTATTGTATAAAGACATTTATCGTAAGGCAAAGAATCACAGAAAGTTGGCAAATTCTCATGGGAGAGTGGATAACAAGAACAAAATTGGGTCCTTATACTAGCAAGCTAGGGGGAAACAAAGTGAAGCGATGGCAAATGTTAGAAAAGTGCTTAGTCGGCGTGCGGTCGTTGGGTTCGCTGTGTCGGTGCCCAGGAGTTGGCGAGGATGCTGGCGCAATACATAGCACCAACGTGGATCTGCATGCCAAGAAGGAAAAAGATGTACCAGATGATGACCATTGGGAATGTTCCCTACAAAAATATACATTATTAACCAAAAACAAACCTTGAAAGTTGGCGTCTGACTGTCTGGGTTGAAGACGTAATCAAAAAGTTCGGGCAGTTGGCCGCCAAGTCCCATCATGATCGGGACGATTCCCGTCAAAAAGTGTCCATAGTAGAAGTAGTTTATATATTTTAACTAAAGAAAGTAAGAAAACTAGAATGAGACGCTTACGTTGTTCCTCGGGAATGCCATAAAAGCCAGGATGTTGACGAAAAAGGACAGGCACCACACGTACTCCCAGGGATAAGCCGATGGCGCGTCTATTCTCTTGAGTAATGAGAAGTTGAAGCCAAAGTTCTTTTGCAGAACTTCCCCGCCGACCTAAACAAAATAGTCAGCTTTTCTTTAAAGGTTACCTTAATCCAAAGGAATATCGCAACGAGGAAATGAGGGACGGCGAGCCATGTGAGGTAGTTCTTGTATTGAGCACTAAAAAGTTTATAAAACCAGGGAAATAACGTAAATAGAGTCGTAATTACGTCAAAAAGCAATAAAAGCCAAGTTTAGCGTTCTATCCATCTGTTTTGGCCAGAAAGTCAGAAAGCAAAATTTACCTGATTTGATAATGCGCGGCTACCCGTTGCCGATGCTGGAAATCGGTGCCGTCTGTGCCCTCGGCTCTTGCTCCACCCTTCGATGACATATTTACCCTGGAAAATGGAGGGTTTTTAGCGAATTATAATCATGGGTTGGAAAATGGCGAAAGATTCGGCAGAACTATTTTTTGGAGTGAAAGAGTGAGGCCGGGGAAACAGTGACATTACGCGAGGCGTCTATGGACGCTGACCAGACCGGCTATTGAAAGCCAGTTGGCCAGGGGGGCGAAAGGCTAAAAATGGTGCCGCGAGGGTGCAAAAGCCAAGCGGGTGAACTTTGGAGTCGGATTGTAGAGTGTAGGCCCGTTTGGACAAGCTTCAGGTTAGGGCAAAATGTGTATCAGGAGGCCCAAGCTTCTCGAAAAACGGGGTAACTAGAAGAAATAACAGCAATTGGGAAAGGACGCTCTGTATACTATCAAAATATCCCTTTTTTGAAGAAAACCCATCCTATGTCTTCATTTTCTTGATTAAAATATAAGGGCTGTTCCAGAGGGTGCAATCGGTCGTGCCTTTCTAAAGTGACAAAATGCCTCCTTGGCGATAAGTTATCCAAATACAAAGTTTTACCAAAAGCTCATGTGAATGTAAGCTATCGACGATTGTGTGTTAGTGAAAATGTAGTTCCTCCAACGTGTTGCCTTGAAGGAGATCGTCTAAAGATGCCTACCACCGAAAATTTCCAACACATTGTCCTACCAAAACCCAAAACCACCAGCTTGTTTTTATTTTTCGAAGATTTACGCTTTATCTCTAAATCTCCCCATCTCCATGAAATTGGGCGTTAGGGAAAACAGGAGAAATGGCGGGTCAGAAGGAGAGCAAATATCCAGGGGCCCCGGCCGAGGACCTCCCCCCACAGATCCTACAATCCTGCCGAGCATTGCTAGCTAATCCACTCGCTAAATGAGCAAGTCTGAGCTTGAGCTGTTCTCGCTGCCCGGCCGAGGTCGTGCCGAATGTCTGCGTTTGATGCTGATCTTTGCCGGGAAACCATTTATCGACACCCGGATGACCATCCAGCAATGGAAGCTGCACCGTAAGAGAGGTTAGTATAACGCTAGATAGATTTTTATGCGACCAAACCGAGCATTTACTAATCCAGATACTAATAATAGCTGCACAAAAGAAGTTGCATAACTCCTCTCGTACCAGTAAATCTTACGCTCCAGATGAAACGGCCCGGATCTAAGTGTTGCGTAAATAGATCCGAGCATAGTTTGGCTCACACATTTTTTGCCAACGCTGATCCTATTTTAGCTAGCCTCGATGAACAGACGAAACTGCCCGTGCTCAACGCCGACGGCGCCAAGAAGGTTATCGTCGGCGCCGTCGAGATTGGCCGATTTCTCGCGCTGAATTTCCGTAATAAGGCCGATAATCCGCGACCCGCCCTTTAGATCTGTATGGAACAAGCAGCGGCGAGCAAGAGCAAATCGACCAAGTGATTCGGCAATGCGAGACGCTCAACCACGAGCTTGGCCCAATTATCAGGACGACGCTCACCAAGAATTTCGAGCTGCGCGTGGGTTTTTTCGATTGCTTCAAGGGATCAACCAATTCAGCGCGATCTCTGGAATGAGTACAAAGAGAAGACGCTGAACAAGACATTGGCCAAGTGGGAGGAGGAATTGACTAGTCGTCCGCATTTGGTCGGCAATAAGGTGGGCCGGAAAGTAGGAAAAAAATGAGTTTTTAGTACACATGGGCCGATATCAGTGTGATCGAGTTGCTAACCAGGTTCCAGTGCTGCTACGATTCGTTTTTCATGGCAAATTGGCCAAATTTGAAAGGTGACAAATTGGCAAGGCTAAAACCCGGACCAAAAAAATGAAACATTTCGATTTCAGGCCTCATCGAGCGCTTCGAAAAACTGCACAACGTCGGGCCGTACATGCAAACCCGGCCGGACACTAACTTTTAAATAATACGTTTGTTCGTTTCTCAACTGTTCTGCATTTTCCGCCAAAGCCTCTTTGGGGCACAATTTGTATTCATTTTCAAACGATCAACGATAAAATGAGGATAATTAGAGGTGACAACAAAAGACAAAGTAACAAATGAGATTTCGGGGGCAGACATACAAACCTAGACACTAGCACACAACGGAGGATCACTTGTTCGTGGGGTACTGGAAAAGGGTAGAGAGGCGCTTCAGGGATAATATAAATACAAGAAAACGAACAGCGGGCGTGGAAAAATATGCAAGACCAGTCTAGAAAGAGGGCCAATTCCGCGGAATCGGCTGACACGTTATAACGGAAGTTTTTAGGATTTTGTCTCCTTTTTCTTCTTTTTAGTTGTTTTTTTGACTATACAGGCACATCAAACAATCAATGTACAAATAATGGGTGGGCGATAAGGGAAAGGGGGTAAGGCGCACCAAAATGCATCAATAATAAACCGAACACTGACACACACTGGGGAGGAATATACTGCTTTTTTTTGGTTGGTCCTATTGCATGCCGCTAGACTGAAGTTGCGAGGTGAGCTCCATGAATTGATGGTAGAGGTTGTCGAGCTGTACGACCAAAGCCTGGTTCTTTCGGCGAAGCGCGTTGTTCTCCTCTTCCTAAAGGAATTAGTAAGCTTTTGCGAAAATGCGGGATTATAAAAGTTTAAGTAAAAAAAACTTACGATCTTGAGGACGCTTTCTTGAGAGGGCGACACGCGGGGCTGGTTTTGATGGTACCTAAAAACACAGGTTCGTTAACTGAGGAGTCGGACTTACCGTAGTTGGTCAATCTCCCTCTTGAGCTCCGCGATGAGCGAAGCCTGGTCCTGGATGGTCTGGCTCTTCTGGCGTTCTTCCTCCTCCTTGCGCATGCGCCAGTTCTTGGCGAGCTGCGCCTTGGAATTTGAGGCAACGGCCTTGGTGGGTCGGCCCTTCTTCATCCGTTGACGGGATGTCCCGGCCAATGGCGCCTGAAATTTTGAAGATGTTATGATGTTGGTTTTTAGTAATAAAATTTAGCCTATTTTGATCGTGTTTTTACTAGTGACGTTTACTAAAAAGTTATAAGATTCCAAAAAAAACGAATAGTTTGGACCATTTTTCCTACGTTTTTGACCAACTAGTGCTTAAAAATTTCAATAATTTTTATAAACTTTTTCGTCATAATAAAAAGGGCAGTCATGGTTTTAAAATGGCTTCTATTGCATTAGAAGACACCTACCAGCGTATAGGGAGTTAATTTTTTTAGTAAAAAACTAAATTTAAATAATTACTGTTAGCCAAAATTGAATTCCTTCTCCAACGTAATGCCGTTTCATAATACATATACTAACCTGGCGAGAGGTGGTGCGTCGGGGTGGGTGAGTGACGTAAGGCTTCTGCTCGACGGGCTGCTGTAGATCCGGGCAATCGGTGATCACGTCGATTGGGGAGGCGGGTGATCCAGGTAGCTCCATGGCGAAACTAAAAAGAGATCGTTTATGATTGCACTGGCAGCGAATAACGCACATGTCCCAAACTTACCGTTGTGGCGACACTGGGGCTTCTTGCGGGAAGGACTGGTTGAAGATATCGTCGAAGAGCGTCTGGTTATCGCCTGAAAAGCAAGGTTTTTGGAAAATCATGATGTAATGAAAATTTCTTTCATGTTATTATCATTATAACTTTTACTATGTGACCCTCATTAACTACCACATCCTGCTATAGTATAAGCAATCGTCACGCTGTGCCTCGGATAAAATCGTTCATCCTAACCGTTTTCGTCATGCTGTGCAAACTTATTATTTCTGGCTTAAAATCGGATGCTACGTGTGTACTGATTTGTTATTGACGAAGAAAATTTATTGTCACGAGATGCCGACCGAAATTCTCCGCTGGCGCATGCCTTAAATATTAAAAATTCTAATAACTCACCAAAACTATCGTGCAGCGTTGATCCGGTCTTCGGAGACCAGGGTAGACCATCAATACTGATAGGAGACTCGCTACCTGGAGTCGGAGCACCCATCCACACGTCGACGCTGCAGTTTGAGGCCATTATGGCCGGCTGGCTGAGCTCGTCGACGGTTTCGGGTCTCCAATGTTCCAACGGACTGTGGCAGACCGACTGGATATCTGGAATTGGGTCATAGGTATAAGACCAGTTCTCCACAGACATTGTCAAGGACTTTGAGCAAGAGGTGATAGGATTATGAATCGATTACTGGCTTTTCTGTTTATTGCAACCTGCAGAAAGTGCAACAAAGAGCGAATGATAGGGAGAGAGGGCACAGAGATACCTTGCTGAGTCATGCATAGAACCCGCACTTTCGAAACCGATGTTTTTGGGTCTCGCAGCGCGGTGACTGTCGTGGGAAGGTGGCGAGAGAGTGCCGAAAGAATGAGGGATTGGGGAAAGAGCACCGGATAGGTGGAGGCTCCAGGGAAAGAAGGGCAAAAGACTCTCTTTCCCGCATTAGCCGCTAGCCAAAAGGGTAGAATAAAAACCGGTAAAACTGTTGAAAATACTTTAAATTACTCTTGAGCCTTCGAACCGACAAAGGGAAGTTGTAGTAACCGGATTTGGTATTTTGTCAAGCGGGATACTGTCTTAATACGAGGAATCTGTAAGTTTTAAGAAACCAACTAATGCGAGTGATACCTAGAAGTATTTAAGGCGTTTGTGGTATGACAGCGATACCGAATGTGCAGTATGAAATGGGCCCAAAAACCTAATAAATCGCAGCATAAATTTCGGTCCTAGTCAATGGTGTACTTTCAACGCGGCAACAAAACTCTGGTCAGGACCGCATCCCTTTAGTGTCTAAAACGGGAAGCCATTGATACTTTATACGCTTTTAAATGTGATTAAAAATGCTCCTGGACACGTATGTATATTATGCCGTAATAACACTGCCGGTCGATGACGTGTTGCAAAAAATACAATCTCAGCAATCGGGAAAAATCTACCCTGCCAACCTAAATAAACGTTGAGGAGGTCTGTATAGTCCCGCGACGCTCAGTATTAGCCACACAAGTCAAATGCTTCCACAAGTCTATTGATTTTCGAAGCCTTACGCGATTCAACCCGTCACGAGCCGATCCCCCTAGCATTGCACAACACATTGTCGACTGGCTGGCAATTCGCCCCAACCTGGCGACACTATTCGTCCCGCCCCCAGTAGACCCTAACTACCGTAGTCAAAGGAGGATACGAAACTCGAGGGTGGGGATCGATAAGGCACGCCCCGCAAGAACAGCCAGCCCCCGTCAGACCCCCACATTGCATTGCAATCCCAAACCCCACAGCCTTCACGAAACTATTCCTCTTATCCCTTCCACGCTTTTCCAAATGGATTGCTTAGATAATAGCCCATGGTTTTACAACCAATCTTTCCAGGACGAGCTCGAGCGTACGTTCCTTCGGCCCGAGACCCCGCAGCCTGAGGATCCATTTATTGGTGTAACTGAGGTATATCAGAGTCCCCCCTACGAGCCGGTAGAAATGGAGAACGAGTTCTGCTACTCCGACGGCTTCCTGCCGGTCAACCCTTTCGATGAGCTGCTCAATGAAGAGGATATGAGCTACGGCAATTTCATCGACGTCGAGTCCAGCCCTTCACCACCTTCGCTCCAGAATTACGACCAGTTTGAGGAGAAGCCTATCATCTCCCGGATACCGATGATGCCATCGAGGGTGGAGAACATGGAGGACATCAAGCCCACCATCGCCCACCGACCTGCTCCAAGTCGTCGGGGCCGCCCACAGAAGGACAAGCCCCGCTCATTGAAAGCCCAGGTATCCAAGCACTGGCGCGAAAAGAAGAAGGTCCAAGACAAAGCTATTCAGGATAAGGTCATGCAACTCGAGTGTGAAAACACTCAGCTGGCCAGGAAGAACAACAAGCTGCAGACGGAGATCCAACAACTCCGCCAACTTGTCGCCAGACTTCAAAAAGCCTAATAGTTTTTAGGGCCTTCCTAACCTATCATTATTGTTGATCTCATTTGTTATTATAGTCGTCTCCTGTATATTCACCCCCAACCCCCGCGTCTCCTTTTTGTCTTCTAAGCGCTTGTCATGGACCCGGCTTTTCGGGCCAACCAATACCGGTTTTTGGGTTTTTCTCCTTCTTATTCTTACTATGTGTTCTTGCAAGCTGGGCCTATTTGGAGATCCGTTGCAAGCGCACCTTTTAGTTATGGGCCATTCTATATTTCGTAGCCCACGGCAGCACGGCAATGTACGGTCCTCTGACCAAAAGGTATGTTTTTTTATCGAATCACGACTTTTCTAAAGGTTCCCGGGTTTCGAAACCCGTTACGAAATTAATTTCGGAATTCCGAAATTCCGAAGATACCACATACGAATTTTTAATTGGTATTTTCGAAAGAGCCAGGGTTTCGAAACTGGTTTTCGGAATTCCGAAATTCCGAAAATACCACTTTCGTATCTCGAAAATGGACTCGAAAATCAATTTCGAATTTGACTAAACCCTTAATTAACCCGTTCTTTTCAGGCGTTAACGCTGGGCACATAACTCACTCACTACAACAAACCACCACTGAAAAACGATGCCCTGATACAACATCATCGAGATCACCGCGACCACTTCCCAAGGTATGTTACTTTACATTTTGCGCACATAAGCGGCAGGTAACGGTTCATTCATTTCTCTGCTTTCCAAACTGATGGCAATTTTCTGGTATTTTCAGAGTCCAGAAGCGATTGGCGGCCCACAAACTGGACCCTCCCACTTGTGGTTTGCGGTGTAACAAGCGAAAAAAATAATTAAAACTAAAACTAGATGAAAACAACCCCAGTCACCATCCCCACCCGATGGCGATTGTTTCGAAAAATCCTTATAGACCAAATTTATCATTTATTTTAGTTCCAACTACCATGGATGTGCTACGCCCCCAGAAGTGCCCAGCCTCGCCGCCGTGCAGCCAGCAAAAAAAAAGATAGAAAAGAGCTCCAGAACGGCCCACCTTGTAATAAAGATTTATATGTAAGCTAGCGGTCCTGATTTTTTTATGACCCTACGGTCTTTCAACCGTCATTATCTGTGGAATTTTTAATATTACTTTCAGCTTACGAACTTTGGAACCGGAATTCATTTGCCAATTTGCAGAAAGCCTTCCCTTCTTTGCCTTCACGCCCTCAGGATGACCTGGACACATGAATGCATGGTTGGTCTCTAAATAATCGGAGAATTTCGAAATCGAAAAAATATATTTCTGGTACCAAACAAAGCATAAAACCCATTTATACATACTGCTCAATCCAAGGCGGTTTAGCCGACGGCTCAATGTGGGCTCGCCGACTGACTGTCCGTCACGGTGACCAAAGCTACATCGCGGTATCGCGGGATCCCCGAGAGAGATCGGCTATGATAGAGAAGAGACACAGAGAAAGAGAACACCAAGTTTTGGTGTCAGTCCGGTCGGTTCAATGGCAACGCCTAAAAATAAGGCAAATAAAAAAGATGCTAATGAACCGCCGGGGACATCAAAGCTCCCCTACCCAAGATATGCGAGAATTTCAGATATCCGTGCGACTATGGGATCTCTTTGTTCTAAAAGAACTCTCGGTTTAAAGTCTAAAAACCGTGATAATTCAAGCAAAACATAGCGCTATTTTCTAGTTCCTAAAAACAGGAAAAATTCTTTCGCTTAACCCAGAGAGATCCCATAAATACCTCCACTTCACCAAACTAGGCCCTTATTTCAGTCATCACAACCCTCAACCTCATCTGACAGCGAATCTGATCGCTCGGTCACCCCCACCGACTCTTCAACAACCGCGCAACCCGCCGCTAGTGTTGCGCGCTCAGAGGCAGCGCGACAACGCGCCCTTGTCGCCATTCGCAGGCGACAACACGCTCAGCGTTTAGCCGGTTAGTCTAAGAACATTAGTGTTATTCAAAAGTTAGGGAAAGCGTAATTTGACGGGGAAACTAAGCAAAGAAAAATAACTGAAATCGACGAACTTGAAAACCCACTTGATTTCGTCCTTCTAACCGTCCCTCTTTCAGCCCGACGCATCTCGCAAGCCCGTGCCGTCATGAGAGCCCGCTTCCTGCTTGGCGAGGACATGTCGTATGCGAAACTGGTCGTCCAGGAGAACAGCGAACTGCAAGAGACGCATCGGATGCTCACCAACAAGGTGCTAATTCTCGTTCGATCTGCCGGGGGGAAAGCTGTGGCGCTAGATGATCGTTGCGCCAATTGGTGGCCTGGAAAAGATGTAAAATTGGGATGAAATATGGAGGAAATCGAGGAAAAAAGAGGTGGTCCATCGGCCTGTGGTGCTACGAAATTGCCAAGATAGATGTTGAAGCGGAAAAGCGGAAAACAATGATATGAAGTATTAAACTTATCCATAACTTTAAGCTCGAACTGTTTTGCTATACTTTTTAGCAAATTTCTTGCGCTGCCGGCCGTAAAGGCCAACGCAACATTCCACGGCTCGCTCAAATAATGTGCATTCACGACATTTAGTACGAAACTTTACTATATCGATGTGAAAATTACGCTTAAACCTCATAAAAATAAATAAAAACTTGTAAAAAACCCTCGGTTAATCCTACCCTTTCAAGGTACGCGAAATGGAGGCCGGCATCGCCGCGATGCGAGCTTTTCTAGAACGTCGCGCTGCCACCAAGCAATGAAACCACTCGAGTCCCCATTCATCCCCTCCCAATCAATCACAGTCCGGCGGCCGTTTTGTGGTGATTCTTGAAACTTTGTATTTAGCAACCGGCAAATATTGATTCGAAAACTGTCACTTTTGTACATAGCCACAAAACGGCTGTCGCAGCCGCACCAAAATGTGGGTAGTCTACGGTAAGTCGGGTGCTTTACAGCCTTGCGGGTGTATACACCATTTATTCTTTTGCGCCTTTCGCCCCCATCTATTCTTCACACCTCTGGTCATTCTATCGGCAGTTGGTGCCTTTTTGGACTTTCTTTCGTGCTGCGCTTCACTCTGCTTTAACCCAGTTCCCCAATGGGAACCCAATTTTGAGGTGAAAAGACAGTCTCCGTCCAAAATGCACCCTAAAATCAGTACGGTCTCTTTTGGAAATCTCAATTTGTTCGTAAAAACGTTGAATTACTTCGAGATTTCGAGAGAACCGTACCCCTTTCCACCTAAAACCTGCCATCCGAACATGGTGATTCTCTATCTGCCTTGAAAAATCCCCCAACCATTTATTGTCTCTGTAAATATTCCGCCTTTTTGCCCCACGGGCATCTCGAAATTGAGAAATTGAAACGGCCATGCCCGTCGAAACGGGTACCACCGTCCTGCAGAATGGAAAACAAGAGAAAAGTTAAAATCAAAACTAAAAAAAACGCCCGTTTCCCCTCAAAGTTGATTGCTGAGCCGTTTTCCCTGTGTATGCTAAAGTCTTGCAATCGATTTTGTTGTTTTGGAGCTGAGGAGGTGTCGAGAGAAAAAAAGTGAATAAATTTTTTGGAGACATTTATTTGCAAAGCACAATAATACATGGGATTGATATGTTGGGGGAGTGGGGATGAAAATTTGAAAAATAGTAGATACATAAAGTACCACACACACAAGAGGGAGGAGCGAAAGAACGAGAAAACAGAAACGCCAACAGCGCCAACGTGGCCTCATAGAGGCATACGGTAATGGGGGTCGGGATTTAGTTCCCACAATATCGTAGCTCGGTGCACACTTGGGTGGGGTTCATTCCCTTTTTCAGGTCTTGGTAGATCTGTAATGGTTTTATTTTTGTTGTTTAGCCTTTTTCGGGTTATACCTGGTTGAAAAACACATCCACGATCGCCTTGCAGGGCGCGATGAAAAAGCCAACAAAAAGATCTTCACATTCTTTTTCGGCGTCCTAGAAAGTTTAAAATATTTGTTTTAAAGCATACCTTTTGTAGCTGAATGGCGTCTTCAGCTATTTTTGATTGAATAAACGTCACAATAGATTTACAGCAACCGCACAGAGTATCCTAAAAATAGGTATTTTCATACATTTTTGTAGGTTTTAAAAGGTGTAGGTAATTAAAAAACCGTACTCTTCGGCCCGGCCATTCCCAGCCCTCCTCCCAAAAATATTCAGAGCCGGAAGGGATGACCATCGAGAGAATAGGGCTGGAGATTAACAGCAGAAGCATCAGTTCACGCATTTTCTAGAGGTTTTAAATTGTATAAATTTCCAATATTTTTTTTTTTTTTTTTTTTTTTTTTTTTTTTTTTTTTTTTTTTTTTTAAAACTTACCGTATTTTTTATCAAAAAAAAATGACGCCGCCCGGAAAGGTCGTTTACGGGAAAAACGGTGAAAATTGATGGGGTGATAGATGGCAAATTTCGGGAGACCGGACATTAAACAGGTGGGGGCCATTTTACGGCCGGGTTGCTCGGATAGATATGGAAGGGGCAAGGAGAAGAAGCCGAGATAACCCCACATTGACGAATGCGAAAAGTTCGCGCTGGGACCAGGAAGTAGGGCGTTACGGTAATACCGTGAATGGAGTGATCTTTGAAATGTATTTACAGGAAGAAACCTTGTTGACGGTACTGTACTGTTAGCGGGGGGGGCTTTAGGGGGACCTACCTGGCGTTTTACAGACTTTTCAGAGTCATTTTATGGCGTTTTTCGTATTTTTTGATCGCGAAAATGCCATAAAAACCAGTTTTCAATTTTAAAACACGTTAAAAATTGAAAAAGCCATATTTTAGAAAATTTTGAGCTTTTTTATACATCTTTTACCATTAATCAAAAAATTTAGAACATTTTAGTAAGTTCTAAATTTTTTGATTATTGGTCAAAGAATAAAAAAAAATAAAAACGGCGTAAAATGCTAATTAAATGGTGGCGATTTATTTTTTTTTTTTTTTTTTTTTTTTTTTTTTTTTTTTTTTTTTTTTTTTTTTTTTTTTATTGTGACCCTGCCGGGGATATACCAAAATTTAGTCGGCCCGTTAACAGACAAGTACTTTGAAGCTTTGAATGGGCCGATAGCTTGCCAAAATTTGCATAAATGGCAGCGAGCCGGAAAATACAGACAAGCTTTTTGTTCTTCTTCTGATAGATGTTCGCCTTCATACAGGTTTTTCGGGGTTTTAACAAAAAACTAACTAAATTAAGAAATGTCGACGGCCTCCGGAAACGAACCATGAAGTCATCATCGGCGCCCCCAGCAAGCGATCCGCCAACAACAAGCTCAACACCACCAAGTACAACGCGTTCGACTTTGTGCCCCGATTCTTGGTGGCCAAGTTCCTCGAGCCGACCAACGCCTTTTTCCTCGTGCTCACCCTTGTAAAGGTCTGAAATTGTCGGGAAAATAACTCGAATTCTTGTGCTTTAGTTGTTGCCCGAGGTCTCGGCAGTTCCGTGGCATTCCTCCGGAGTCCCGTTGATCATCATCATCCTCGTCAACGCGTTCACTGAAATTTACGAGGATTTGGTGAGATTTGGGGTTGTGCAACTGCTCTCTTAGCGGGGGGGGCTTAGCGAAATGTTTGATCGTTTTATCGTGTTTTTAGTGAAGTTTGACTTAGAAGATCATAAAAATTAATAATTGGAAATTTATTTTGACGAAAAAATACGTAAAAAAGGGCGTAGGCTACATACAAGGTGTGTATTTCATTATTGAGACCCTATTGGATTGGCCAAGAACGCTCCCTGGCTATACCGCCCCCGCTAATAGTTTAGTACCGAAAACGTTCTCAGATCCGTCGCTTTGCCGATACACGATTGAACAATACGGAGGTTGAAGTGTTTGATGGGGCCTCGGAGACCTGGATAAGGACACAATGGAAAATGGTACTTTCTATGATTTTTACATTTCGTCTAATATCCTTTTTTCAGCTCGAGGAAGGCCACATTGTGCGACTGACAAAAGGCGACATGGTGCCGGCCGATTTGCTGATTTTAAGGTATATTTTTGAGCTTGCGGCGAGTTTAATTAGATACGTTAAAACTTCCGTGTTTCAGCTCTTCGGAACCGGGCGGAGATGTCTACATGGAAACGGCGAATCTCGACGGCGAGGCCAATCTGAAAGTCCGACAAGCGCCCGCCGAGACGATGGGTGTACATTCAGAAGAACGAGTTAAGGTAGAAGATTGTTTTGCTGTTTTGAAACGATATTTTAGACATTTTTCGAATCTGCCCCTATGGTTACGTGCGAACCGCCGTCGCGAGCCCTCGATCATTTCCAAGGAGTTTTGAAACTTTCGCCCCATCTCATCGCCGACTTGAAGTTTGTTTCGTTTCTTTACAGCCAAAATGTATTTCTAGAGAAGAACAATCTCAACCCCGATTCTCACAAACTGAACGTCAGGATGTGTCGATTAGTGGGGCTTCTACTTTAGAGCCAATCCCTTTTAGGTGGCGCAAATTTCGTGATCCGAGGCGCAACGCTGCGAAATACCGACTGGGTGCTCGGTGCCGTCATCTACGCCGGCAAAAATACAAAGATTGCCCAGAATTCGGTCAAAAAGAGCACAAAAATGTAAGCGCCACTTTTGTCTACTTATCCTATTTGAGGTCTCGCGTCCACCGGTTGACAAACTGGATGGTGTTGACACAAATCGGATGGCTTCTCCTGCTGGCGATGGGCTACGCGTGGGCCGGACAAATGCAAGCTCGTCCCGGTGCTCAACCGCATCCGCTTCGCAGTCCAGAAGCGCGGCTGCCACGCCTAGGCGATACGGGCGAGTGGATGTACACCTGGCTGGACAAGGGTAAGAGATTTTGAGACGAAAGGAAAAGCGGAAGACCCCAGAATCTGAAAAAAACTCCGTTTTCTAAAGCTCTGCTTCCAAAGGGATGATTTTCGGCGGAAACAAACTTGTATACCGTAGGATCGAAGCTTCTTATTATCTAAATCAAAGAGGTGTTTCTAGACTGTTTTTGCTATTTTTCTACGTAAAAGCGTTTTATGAAAAACTTCGAAAATTTGTTTTCTTCCGAACTACACATTTGAAGCAAGATTTCAAGTTTCAAGCGTTTTTGTGTTTTCTAAATTTTTTCACTTGAAATTTAGATGAGTTTCAATAAAAAGCTCTTTTTAGAAGATCGCTACATCCACCAGGGCCTTCTACGCGCCTTCCTCGGTCAACTGATCCTCTTCTCAAATCTGGTGCCCATCTCGTTGTGCGTGACGATCGAGGGATGTCTGATGTGGCAAGCGTATTTTATCAAGCAGGATATTGGCATCTACGACGAGGAACGCGACCAAAAATCGGAAGTTGGTTCTTTGTTTGAGGTGCTTACTTACTTACTTACTTACTGTCAGGTCCGCTCATTCGCCATGATCCCGAACCTTGGATTGGTGAAGTACGTGATGTCGGACAAGACGGGCACGCTCACCACCAATCGGATGAACTTCAAGTTTTGCTCGATTGGAGGGTACGAAAAAGAGTCATCGCCTTTTTACAATCAATTTAGAAAAAGCTACGGCGTCGCGTCGGAATCACCGGAATTTGATGGGCGCAAAATGGTGCGCGAGCTGCGTACCAATAACAAGGTGGGCTTACGTTGATGGGTTTCCATTTTCTACTGTTTAGGGAAATGCGGAGGCGATCGACAATTTCCTGACGGCGTGCGCGGTCTGCCACACCGTCGTGGCCGAGAGGGACAGGCGGTTTGGCTAAATTTGGAAGGCAAATTCTTCTTGCTAAGGCCCTCAACTCCAAGACCGGGCGAAACGTCGATATCGGTGCGGTCAAGCCGTCGTTCAACCAAGGAGCCGCAGTGGCACGCCTGTTCTCCAGGTAAAAATAAAGGATGATTGTCAAATTTTTTTACTAGGGCTCCAGGATGGCCTACTGATTAAAAATTGCGTTTTATATGGATTTTAGCAAAATAGATTTGCATTTAAGGTAGAAACCCTTCTTCAAAATGTAGAAAAATTCTTGAAAACTCGTTAGTTTTACTAACTAAAACGTTTTTTTAATTTGTAAGGTTTTTGTCTAAACGTTAGTTGATATCACTATTTGGTTTAGATGAGGGATGCTTGGTCCGTTTCGCTCGTGACTGCCGCTATACCTTCAAAACTCGCACTCCCGACACGATCACCATTGATGCCGTGAGGAGTCTCAACTCGCAGATATGCTTCATTTATCATTACAGGATGGCGAGTCTCGCACCTACACCATCCTGGCCCTCATCGAGTTCACGTCAGCGCGGAAACGGATGGGCTGTTTGGTTCGGACGCCGCAGGGGCGCCTCAAGTTTTTCATCAAGGGCGCTGTAAGTCTTTTCTAGTTACTTGTTGTTTTTCGAATCCAATCGTCACATCATCGACAACGTATACCTTTTGCAGGACGCCAAAATCCTGCCCACGCTGAGTCGAGCCAGCGACCCGGAAATTGAGAAAATGACGAAGGAGCACCTCAAAAATTTTGCCAACCTTGGTAAATCACCAACGATCTTGAAAACCTTTTTTAGGCTATCGCACCCTATGCTTTGGATATCGTGACGTCACCGAGGAGGAATATCTGTGGGAGAAATAGACGTACCGTGTACTGATTTGGCGTTAGGACCTGGGCCGACGAGTGGAACAAGGCCAACTGCGACCTGCAGAACCGCGAGAAGATGATCGAGGAGGTGGCGGCAAAAATGGAGCACGTCCGTCTTTTTATAAACGCTAGTACCCACCTTTTTAGGAGATCCTTCTGCTTGGCGCCTCCGCCATTGAGGATAAGCTGCAGGACGTTAGGATGCAGTTTTTCATCAAATTCCGGGTTTAGCGAGTCCCCGAAACGATCGCCCGTATGCTGCAGGCCGAAATGAAGGTCTGGGTGCTGACTGGGGATAAACTCGAAACGGCGATCAATATCGGTACGGGAATGAGGATTTTACGAGGATTAACTTTAGGTCACTCTTGCTCCCTTCTCTCCCAGGATACCCCAAAAATCATCCTCGACCGAAACACGGAAGCGGAAACAGAGGCCCTCCTCGACAGGTTCATTTTGGGTTTCACAGAAAGAAAATCCCTATTTTCTAGCTATGTCGGGATGGTGGGCGAGCGGATGCTTGATGCGAAAAACGCGCAATTGGCGTTGATTGTTGATGCACAGGTAAGGGATTCAAGATGAAAAAACTCGAAGAATTAAACAAATTGAAAGAAGTTACTTGCCGAATATGTTGTTCAGTGCTTGGACTGGGTTATGGGGTCGTCGACGATGCGCATGGACTTTTTGCGGATTGCCCTCTGCTGCTCGGCCGTCATTTGCTGTCGGTGTACACCATTTCAAAAAGTTGTGTTTTTGGTTTGATTTTCGTACGGCGAGATTCTAGGCCGCGGTGACGCGCCTCGTCCGCAACAACGTAGATGGTCTCGTGCTGTCGGTAGGCGATGGGGCTAATGATGTGGCTATGATTCAGGTAAATTAAATGGTTTTTTTTAATATTGTTTATCAATTTTAGGAAGCCGATATTGGTGTGGGGATCACGGGCGTTGAGGGCAGCCAAGCTGCCAATGCCTCCGATTTTGCTATCTCACAGGTAAGGGATTTGCACTGTTTATATCTATTAATGCCCTATCTAGTTCCACCACCTGGATCGACTGCTGTTTGTACACGGAACAACGTGCTTTCACCGGATCTCGACCGTCGTGCTCTTCTCGCTCTATAAGAATCTCATCGAGGTTTCACTGAATGTAGGTTGTTTGAAAATCTCTCTCTCTCTCTCTCTCTCTCTCTCTCTCTCTCTCTCTCTCTCTCTTTCTCTTGCTATGTATTTTTTATATCTTTCAGATGTTCTACGGCTTCGACAATGGCAATTCGGACAACCCGGTGGCCGACGAGTCGACGATGGTCCGCTACAACCTCATCTACACCTGGTCCGTCCTGTCACCACCTTGAATTACCGTACTCCTTTTCAGTTGGATTGTCGGCATTCTGGGCATCTTTGACAACCCGGTCCCGTTGGATGTGTTGGGAAAGTACCCGCTCCTCTACACGCATTTCCAGGACAACCTCACCAACTTGGTGGGCCTCTTCCTCCCGGAGGTGTCACCATCCCTTTAGAGCCACATGATCTGGTCGGCGAACGCGATGCTCCACGGTGCCATGCTGTACTATGCGTATCGGATCTGGTGGCGCGATGGGGGAGGTGGGGGTTTTTTAGCTCGGTTTTATCGAGGCTCGGAATTCAGTGATGTTCCCGAGTGGCCGTGACGGTTGGGGCCAGATGGGTGGCTCGTGGCTGTATTCGGTTAGTTTTGACAATTTCGGATGGTTTAAAGGGATCTGCAAGACTGGATGGTCGATTGATTTTTGGGAATTTTGGCTTTCGAAAATTTTTGAAATTTTTATGGAATTACATCCAGATACCCTGCCTGATTTGGCCCGTTAACACCCCCTTCCTTTAGTGTATGGTTTTCGTGGTGAGCCTGAAGTCGGTCCTCGAGAGCCTCTCTATCACTGTGGTAACGAGTTGTCCGTCTCCCTTTAAAACGACGCGACACTCCAGCTAACGGCCCTCGGCTGCTTGAGCTCGATTATTGGCGTGGCGGCGATGATGGTCGTCGACTCGTACCTGTTCCCCTACTTTATCGCGCCCATCATTGGCCCCAATCGGGCCCATTACTTGGGCCTCATCTACACCCTGCCGTCCCCCCAAACGGGCCTCTTCCTGCTGTTCATCTGCGTCGCGTGCCTGCTGCCCGACTTGGCCGTCAAAGCGTACGCTACGCGCCAATTAACAAATACCTATTTTAGCCTCTACCGTACCCTCTACCCCTCCATCCTCCACCGTGTCATCCAGTCATTGGCAAAGAAAGTGGGCGGTTTTTCTCACTTCCTGTATTCCGTTTCTAGGATACCGTACTCGACACGTTCCGCCAGCCGATGATCCTCCTTGCCGACGTCGTCGGGCTGAAGCAGGAGCTGGAGAGTGGAAAGTGTAGGTTTTTGAAGCGTCGCATCCACCAGACACCTTTAGACGGCTTCATGTTCGCCCAGGATGACGGGAGAGTGATCTCGCAGGGAGATCTTCTGAAAATGTATGGCGCCCCGGACTGTCGCTCGTCCAGAAGACAGGTAGGCAAAAGTATCCCTACCCCGAAATTTCCAGAACCAAAATAAACCCGCCGCCGAGCACCATCTGGTCGAGCAGAGCCCCGTCTCGTCCACGAAATCCCTCAACTCGCGCAACCCCCGGCATGTCAAATGGGTACGGTAGCCCCGGCTTTGGGTCATCTTTTACCAGGCATCACACCCCACCGCCGAGCCGATCATCACTGAAGAGCCGGTCGTTGCCAAGCCGAATGATGAACACAAATCAAGCCCTAGCTGTGAGGACACCCAGGTACCGTATTCAATTCAAGGCTTTACAAATTTTTATAAATAAATCGAAAAAGAAGATGTTCGACCAGAATTTCGACTAAAAATTTTTCTACTTTTTTATTGTTTCCACTTGAAACAGTAAAATATACTTGAAACATAATTTTTACACTTATAGGAAAAAAGTAGCACGCCCCGATATTGAAGAAGAACCTTGAATAAAATTAATCTGGACGGTTTAGGTGGCCACTATGGAATTGCCGCCCGGCGTCGACGGCCCCTGATCGCCCACAAACCTATCTTAAATCGAATCGTGTTTGTTTGTGTGCTTGAAATAGCCGTATTTCTCTCTGTCTGTCTCTGTGACATTCGATCAAACTGCATCCGCGGAATAAACGGCTCATCTCGTACAGTAGACCCAAGATTTTATGGTTTATACAGCCTGGTGAGAGCATCTAGCAGAAATCGATGGATTGGCAGACGCCCTGCGCATTCGTGCCGTTCTTCAACATGTCGATCACCTGAAATCAGCCGGGCTGATAGCGAAAATGAAGCTTTAGCAGAAGCTTAAAATGCTTCCAAAAACTTTAGACTCACATCCTTGACGTAGTAATCGACGATTTGCTTGCACGACGTGTCGATGATGCCCTGCTTGAAGAGCTTGTCGCACTCGTCGTCGAGCTTCTAAAAACCGACGTTTCAGATGTTTTTATATGCTTATCGCGGGTTATTAGGGGGTTTTTCTTGCTTAGAATTTAGAACCTTGTACACTGGCTCCTTGATAAATAGATCTAAAGTATTTAATAACGGTGCTTTTAGTTAGATTTATAATTTTTATGCTTGAAAATCTGAATTTATAGCTTATCACACGTTGTTTGTGTTTTATTATTTACGGTTTAGTCGGATTCTCTGTTAAAAGCTCCTAAAAACTGACCTTCTGGATGACGGCCTCGTCATCAGTCACGTCCTGCTCGACAACCTTCACCAATTGGATGCACACGTCGCAGAAAATACCCTAAGAAATGTCAATTTATAGAAGTTAACTTATAATAAACTTATAGGAATGTGATTTACAGAAATAAAACCGTAAAAAACCCACGAAAACGTTCGGCTTGGCCTTCTGCACCTTGGGGACGAGGGCGATGGCGGCGACGGCCGAGACGAGGCACAACAGCACAACGGTACGCATATTTTATCCCTAATTTCAAGAAGTAATAATTTATTATATAGCGTATTACATTAGGTAAGAAAACATGAAAAATCCATGAAACATACCGTTGTTTTCGAGCTAAAACTGGAGGATAAGTTTGCAAAAGGGGTGGGGTTTTTGTCAGGATTTGAGGCTGCTCAGGCAAAAACATGAAAAATTCCCCAAAAAAACGTCATTTTTGGAGCTAAAGCTTGAATATGAGCACAGGAAAAAGTGTATTTAGTGAAAACGAAAAAGGAGAACCATCTTCTGGAGCCGAAAAGTGCCGAAAACGCAACCCAAAGCCCCGTGATATGAGCCCCTAAATACCAGAGCGATTGGGGCGGATTAGCCCTTCTTCCCTGCCCAATCCTAAAGCATAGATAAGCCCGGTCACGGCTTCAGATCTCCCATTCAGCGGCTTCGAGCAACCCCCACAGCCTGTTGATCAAAGAATGTTCCGCGTTGATACGGGCGGACGCCACGGAAACGTTGTGAGGATTGGTCCGGAAATGGCGCCGTGGTATTGGTGTGTTAGCGGGGGGGGGGCTATCTAGAAGCCAATAACTATCTAGTAAAATTTGTTATTTTTTATAGCGTATTTTATGGTGTTTTTCTTGTAGTTTTTGATTATGCGGAAGTCATAAAAGTTTAAAAATTTGGAATTTTTGAGCAGGTACTTTTAAGTAAAAATCAAAAAAATTCCACGATTTTGATAAGCTTTTTAATTTGCGCCTTATATAGATAAAAAATGGCGTAGAAAACTACAAAAATCCAAAAAAATATAGGCGCCAGTTCTCCTAATTTTTGTCGCTTTCAGAGTCCCCATTTTCCTTATAAACGGAAGCCAGGCAGTACAAACCATAATTCTTCCATGATAAAACACACCCCCGAATGTCATTTTGTATGCTCTTGTAGTTGGAACTAAAATCCGGTGGATTGCGTGCATCGCTGAAGCCGTTCCCTAAGGATTAGCTGCACTCGCCCCCCTTCCGCTTATCACAAGCCGCCATGTGGCGGCCCTCAAAAAAATGGCCACCCGCTTCCCTTGGTCTGGAACTTTGGCAACGACAACCAAATAGGCACAAAAATCATGAAAACATGGTAAATTTAATAAAAAAAAGCTTTATCAAGGTTTTCAGGCCTCTGTGATGGGCGCAACGGCTCTTTTCGGGATCCGTTTCACCGACTTTTTCTTCTTTTTCGGCTTGGCTTCGGCGGCCGGCGGTGGCGGGGCGTCCAGACTCGCCAGATCGTTGCTGCTCGAGCCGTTTTGGGCTCGTTGCTTCAGCTTCTCCTAATTTACTGTTCTTAGGTGGAAAAACTTAGAATTCGATTTTTCGAAGAAAATTTCTGTCTTTTCTTTAAGTTCGTACGGCATTTCCGAAATAGTTTTTCCATTGAAATAACCAAGTTGCTAAAAAAAAACAATTAAAATCCTGGTTATGACGCTACAATATATATCTCGGCTTAATAGAAAAAATTCGGATCGCCAGGAAATACTCCGCAAACATTTTTTTCACAAACCTGCAAAGCAAGCTTTTGCCGCTCCCTGGCTTCTTGATTGCGCTTTTCGAATGCCTTCCGCGTCGTCCCATACTCGTCTAGTTTTTGCTTGACGTCGCCTGGAATATCCTACTATATATAAAAAATAGTTCCTGTGTGTGTGTGTGTGCATTTGAATGCAACTTCCGTCACCGTGTCCGGAGGATATCTCAAGAGGGGAAGGGCGTTACGCTACGTATGATACGGGATTAGGTGCGTAACGTCCCCGAGATGACTGCACGCATATCAGATTTTGCAAATTATGCTATTTTCGACATTAAAATTGTGTTTTTGTTGAAAAATCCGGCAGCCTTCTTTGTTAGGAAATAATTAGCATACGCCGGAAGTCGCCGCAGCCTATATATATAACGTGAGAGACTGGAATTCCTCATTTTTCCCCCATAGGAATTCGAGAGACGTATTCATGAAGAATTTCATCAATTTAGACGGGGCCAGGGTTGAAAAGTCGCGAAGCGGCTTTTCAACCCTGCTTATTTCTATTTTTCCAACCCCCATGACCCACCAAATAACGCGTCCTTGGTAGGGATTGGTGCCAATTTGCTGAGCGGAACCCCACCCGGCCCGTCCGGTTGTGACAGATTCAGCAGTTCCTGCTTCTAACTTTCTAAAATTCCCAAAAAGGCTTACGCTTAGACTGTCGGTACGGCCGAATTGTTCGTCTCGCAGCGCTTCTTCTTCGAGTGCCAGCAGCTCCTGGGTGGGTTACGGTAATCCGGGGCACTGAATATCGCTCACCTTCTCCAATTCGTTGTCCGCCACATGGTCATATTCGAAGCTCATATCGTGGCCCAGCTCTTCTTTGCACTAATTTATCGTTTTATAGGTTCTGGACTGTTAACGGGGGAAACTAGCTTGCGTTTTTAGGTATAGAAAATTTATAAAAAGTTGTTAAAAGTTTCGAAAAAGATGATTTTTTTAGCAAAAATCTCAAACTTTCTAAAAATTATACCTTTTTACGGCTATTAAGTCATGAAAACCTACCAAAACACCTAAAAATTCACTAAAACGCTAACTATTATGCTACCTTTTTTTTCATAATCGCCAACCGTTCTTCACGAAGTTGACGTTGTTTGCGGATGACCTTGGAGCAACATATAGAAAATTACAACGTCGAAAAACCCACCTCATCATTTGCCTTATCCAAATCCTTACAAATTGTGTCGTGAATGACCTTGTCGAACCATTGGATAAGTGACGTGATTTTGACATGTGTTTCTTGGAAAACACGACCGGCCTATCAATTAACTGCATTTTTGAAAACCTGAAAATTCAACCTTATCAATAGTGCCATCATTTTGTACGTCCTTGAAGGCGGCGTTGACCGTATTTTCCATCTCGGTCATCTCATCCTCCGTCGCGTACGGGAATTGCACCTGGAATTAAAGATGTTTTTTAAAAGGCTAATTAAAAATGAAAATAGTTTTTACCTTTCCCAAGTACACACGACAACTCTGCACGTTCTGGCCGGCCGCAATAAAGTTGTTGCGGGCCTCGGCGGCCGCGAAATAGCGCATCCGGCCGTTACTGGAAGACAAATTGTATTTTTAAAGGCATAAACAATTATTGAAAAGAAATAAACTCACGCCGACTCGATTTTCTTCAATTCAGACCATCGAGAAATGCCGAACGCCATCTGGGTATTTGCGTGCACGAGAAGAACCCTAGATTGCAGAAGCTTACGCATTATGATATCAGATTTTTTTAAATATAATTAATCTTTCTTCATTTTCCTTTACTTACCTTCCGTTTGTCCATTTAAACATGGCCAAACTCACTCTCTGCTGCCATTCCACCAAATCTTCAAGCTAGAAATGGTGTTTCTATTTGATTATAAACCTTTCAACAAGCCTCTCCCTCCAGCTGATTCTCCTTTTCCGTCGTATATTCCGATCCAAATATTTCCGCTTAACAAATTTTTCTATTTTATCCTTTTAAACTTACTCAACATTTGATCCTGCTTCTCATACATATTCTGCAAATCATCCGTTTGCTGCTTGTAAAGTTCCGCAATCTTTGCCGCCCGAGAATATTTCATTTTCGCGTCCGAAAGCGCCTAAAACATCTTGATTTACGCTGGCGATCCCATCAGAATGCAAAATCTCAAAAAGCAAAAAGTTTCTCCCCGGCCGGGAATTGAACCCGGGTCTCGCATGTGACAGACGCGGATACTCACCACTATACTACCGAGGACACGAGAGAGGGGTCACCTTTTCAGCGTTATCTTGCTTTCTCGTCGCCTCCACGTATTCCTCCTTCTCTTTGCCCAGTCGCTGCTCCCAAGTGCCCTGCAAAGAGTGGGGGGCTGCCCGTTTCTGCCCGATTTTCGGGGAATATGGCACGCAAAAATAGGATATAACCTGAAATTATATCTTATTAATAAAATTAAGGAATTATTGTTCCATTTTAAATGTTTTTCTATATTTTTATAATGTCTAAATTGATGGTTAATACGAACAGACCACTGAAAATTCGCGTAATTTTCAAAGTTACCTCCAAAATCTTTCAGTCCAAAAGAACATCGTTTTCCATTACAAAATTAAACATATTTTTTACTGTGTAATTAAATAGGTATATACTAAATATATAGTAAATCATCAATCGTTTAAATGACAAAAGCTGAAAAATTTGGCTTCATATATATCCTCATCTTTAACTTTTGGAGTACTTTCCTACATTGGAAAATGTTTAAAAAGTGTTTCTCAGACCATATTTAATTCCTTAAATTTAGGAAAGCCTTTCTACTACCAAACCTGCGATTTCAAGAAGGTCTTCACCGACGGCTGCTCGATATTTTCCATATCTGCCCGTTCTTTTTCCCTAAATTTACCCCATTTCAAGTTGACTCCGGCTTCAAACTGACGTCTGCTTCTTCAATTCCTTATAAGTAGCTTCCAATTGATCGACCGTCTTCTTCAGCTCATCGGCGGCGATCATCTTCTGCTCGTACTTCTTGATGACGTTCTTGCGCTCCAGTCGAAATACCGCTTTCTCCAGGGTGATGTATTCCTGTGGTAATACGGATTGCCGAAGAGATTACCGTTTTTACCTGAAGCATTTTCTCGTTCAGCTTGACCTTCTTGACCTTCTTGGCCTTTTTCTCCTTGGCTCGATCTTCGAGCTCTTTCTCGGTCATACCATCTGGGCGTGGGATGTCACCGGTGGGGGAGGTCGATCGAATTATCTCATCTTCTAATGACTAAAAAAGTTGAAGAAGGTTTTCAAAAGTGTTTTCTCATTATAGGGGGACCACTAATCTTGAGAAATCTTCAGAAAGTCCAGAAATGTCTAGTACTGTAATATATTTCCTTTATTTTCCGAATTTTTTGAGTTGGAAAGTATCCAAAAAAACTTTATAAAAGTAGAGAAATGTAAATGTAGATAGAAAATCAACAATTTTGATCGGAGTGTAACAACTTTTTTACCCCCTCGATAATGTACAAGCACCCGTTCTAATTGTAAGTAGTACCTCATGGGTTTGTTGAACGGCAGCCTCGGCTTCTTTTGCAGCCTTTTTCTTTGACGGTGACGAGCCCATTTTGTTTACCTAATGATCCGTTACAAACAAAAGTCAAACTTTATTAAAGACAGCGCGTTATAAAACACTTAATGGCTCCTTATAAACGTTCAGAAAACAAAGAAAACCAGAAAACGTAGCTTTGCAGTGATGGCATTCATATTGTGTGTTGGGCCAACCGAGGGACGGTCGCCGAGAAACGGCTTGACGACCGCTACCGCCAACACCGCATCGCTAATGCCGCAAAAATATAGATGAGGAAAGAAGGGTTTGCTAAACGTCAGCGGAAAAACCATCATGCGTAACTACCCAAAAAGTCTAGTAAAAATAGTTTGTTTTATAACGGTTGATGTTAGCTGGAACAAATGCAGTTCGCCCCCCCCGCTAACGAAGCAGAACCGTAAAAATGAAACTACAATAACAAAACAATTCTAAATGTTTAATTAGCATATCTAGAAAGTATGGATGGTAATGGAATGGCGCGAAATTCGGCAGTCGAACGCCATAGCTCCCAAAAATGGCCAACAAGCAGCAGAAGAAGAAAGGTAAAAGTTTAGACGTGCCCCTCAAAATGGATATTTTAATGACTAGCGTCGAAAATATAAATATCATAGATAACAAAAAGGTAAGAGTTTACTTTACCCCCCACAGCCGAAGGGTCTCAAAGTTGTCGGTATTTTCCTTATTTTGTCGGGATTTTCGCAACGCCATTCGATAGAGCGTCGAAAAATATACTAAGAGTTTTAATTTGAGCCTACATTAATGTAAAAATAAAAAGTTATAGCCAAAAACTTCCGGCTGGGGGTAAAGTAAACCGTAGCCAACAAAATATTCTAATTCTAAGGTGCGGCTCCGGAGGAAGTGGCAACCTCCCTCTCTGCCTACACAATCATCAAGCGATCCCTCTACGGCATCGTGCTGGCCATCTTCTTTGCTAACTGCATCGTCAGTCCGCCTTCGAAAACCCTGAAAATACCTGTCATTTTCAGAAATACATCTATGATCAGGAGATCTTCTTTGAGGTTGGTCTAAAACTCTAGCTATGCGTAATAACGCACTCGCATTTATTTTACTGGTGTTTTGCCAAAAGTTAGCTATATTTCAACTGGTAAACTAATTTGAAAACTAGCTAAATCTGAATTTCCGAAAAAGCCATGTTCTTATAGATTTTAATTCAACATTGTAAACTTTTTGCTTTGTTTCCACCCAATAATTTTTAGAAAATCGTGCCCGATTTTGAGCAACAGATGATCAACAAGTATCGCCGGGGAGTGGTAGGGTTTCTGGTATTCGACTGTTAGCAGGGGGGTTTAGCAGCGGGAAGCTAGTTTTCCCCAGTATCCTTTACAGTCCGATAACAAGATACAAATCATTTTTAGAGCATTTTACATGGTTTTACCTAAAAAAAACGCAAAAAAAACCTTCTAAAATTTTTAGACTTTTTGACCTAACAGTTCACATATTTCGAATTTTGAAAAATGATTAAAATATTTTGCAATTTCTAGAAATCAAAAACGACTAAAAAAACATTATAAAACAGGCAGGCATAGCCGGGGAAAAAAATTTGGTTCCCCCTGCTAACAGTACAATACCGGGTTTCTCTGGGCGATGTTGATGCAGCTTTCCACTAGGTTCGCTGGTCTGAAGGCACCGAAAGGATCGTGGACATCTACAGTCCAAGCAGCGGGTTCAGTCGTCAGATGCGCATCAACGAAAACCCGTTGACGTTGATGGGCCAAAAGTGGTTGTCGTTGCCGCCGGGTAGGCGAATTTATCTATATTCTAAAATAGTGGACTTTTAGACAGCGAGCGCGTCGGTTCCCGAATGGACGCAGCTACGTGGAAGATTGATCATCTCCATTTTGACCCCTACAGGTATAGCTTCCATGTAAAAATTAAAATATCTAAAACCCGGCCATTTCCAGCTACGAATTGGAACATTATGAGACGATGCTTCGCACCGGCGTCCTCGAACGCGATGGCACAAATGCTAATAGGCGTCTGCTGCTGTTGGGCCATGGTGTCGGCGTGTTCCCACCATTCTTCTACCAGAAATACCCAAAAGTACTCTAAACACCCGGTTGGATCTTTTGCTTCACCAGATGAACACGACGACGGTCGAGATCAGCGCGAGCATGTTATGGAAGGCATTCCGCCATTTCCAGACGCCCAAAGACGTCGAATATCGCAAACGCATCCGGCTCGAAGATGCCGTGGACCTGATCAGAAGGGCCGCAGAGAATGGTAGCGCCTACCGGAGATCCTAAATGGGGAATTTAAAACCTGAAAAACGGCTTAAAAACTGGGAATTTGGTCGAAAAATCCATTTTTGTAGCTTTTTTAGAGCTTTTGTAAAAATTTTACGTTTATGAATGGTAAAAAAAACATTGAGAAACCCCTCTTCTATTCATATTGGCAAAACTGGATGCTATGAAATATTGCCACTTCCTGGAACTACTAAAGAATCCACAAACGTCTCTCAAAATTTCTTCCCCACTACTACCCCTTCTCCAGGTGAAACCTTCGATGCCATCTTCAACGATGCCTGCCGAACTGAGGTAATGGTGAAAACAATTTTTTCACCTAATTTTTAGGACTCAACCGGCGCCAATCGGCCAGATGTACGAAGCGCGTTTCCCGGTCAACCGCTCCGTTTTAGCTGTACAAATGCCCCATTGATGAGCTGGAGACCGACGAGTTGCTGTCGAAAATGGCTGGCTTGCTCGGGAAAAGAGGAGTCCTCTTCGTGAATTTTGTCACCGCTGAACCGCCGCCGTATCAGCGCCGCCATCAGGTAGAGCTTTCATGACCTCAACCCCAGTCCCTGTAGTTGATCAAGCACAACTACAAGAAGCACTTCAAATTCTGCATCTGGAAGCAGCTGCCCCTTCTGTCGAACTGGGTAACTAGGGCTCGCTATCAGCTGAAAGACTAGTTAATTGCAGTTGCTCACATGTGCACAGCGCGAGTTCGACGACAAAGCCCTTGACAGCAACGAGTCGGACACCCCGCCCCCGTCCAACTGAAGCGCCATCTGCTCTTATGATTGTTTGGATTGTTGCCGAGGATAGATAAACTTTATACCTCTTCGCACTAAATCTAATGGCACAGTCTAGCGGAAAGAGATTAAACAATGGGGACCGTGTAGGCTCAGATACGTCTAGAGTGAGGGTGTTTATAAGAGGATAATAGGGTACCAGTCACAGAATGTACATTGGAAAAGCGCCTACGAAAACCAATGATGGCATGGAGCAACGGGGGACTCGTATAAAAATAATTGGCGTACAAAAAGGGGTTCAATCGATTCAGTAGAACTTCTTGCCAGACTTCGCGTAATCCTGAAACGGACTTTGGAGCCTGTCAGCTAAATATACCTGGAGAATCTGAGCCGGCGCAAACTGTTCGCGGTTATAGGCGCGGGAGTACTTATCCATTTTGGTGACGAGCTTTTCGGCTCCGTAGAGGTCGACGAAGCGGAAGGGGCCACCCCAGAAGGGCGGGAAGCCAACGCCAAACACCGAAGCGATGTCGCCGTCAGACTAAAATAAGAAAAAATAAGTTGGGTTGATGTGAAATTGTTTACCGGTTGGCTAATCACACCCTCTTGAAGGCAGTACATGGCTTCGTTGATGAAGCGGCAAAGCACTCTGATCTGCTGGTCCTCAACGCTGCTGACGTCGGCTGGGGCGGCCACGCGGTATTTCTTGATAATCTTTAGGGCCTCCTCGTTCGCCTTCTTGCTGCCCTGAAATAAATAACTGATGGCAACCAGACTTTTAGAAAATCCTGCCACGCAGACGCAGATTTGCGAAAACAGCTCATTTCTCGAATCTTGCGTCCGAAGCAAAAATCACCTTCTTGCCATCCCCATAATTGTAGAAGCCCTTGTTCGACTTCCTTCCCTTCATGCCAGCTGCCACCAGATCCGTGTAAATCTGTGGGTTTCCGCCGCCCACTCGCGCTCCGAGGGCGCCCGAGAGGAAATGAGCAACATGCTCTGCCACGTCCAGTCCCACCTAAAATTTCCATTCACTGCAACTAAAAATTTTACCTCATCAGAAAGAGTAACAGCGCCCACTGGGAATCCAAAATCAGTGGTGATCTTGTCGAGTTGCTCAGGGGACATACCCTCCTATGGAACAAATAAGGAATGTCGACTAAATGTACCTGGAGCAGCCTGGTGATCTCGCTCATGATTGGGGCCAAACAACGCACAACGAAGAAGCCAGGGCAATCCTAAACACGAATGAGAATGCAAAGAAGATAACGAACCTTGACCACGACGACCAGCTTTCCTTGCTTCAGACCCAGTTGAGCAGCAGTAGCGATGGTTTGCTTGGAGGTCCCTTCATGGGTGATGATCTCAAGAAGCTGCATCTTTTCCACCGGCGAGAAGTAGTGCATGCCAATGACCTAAAAAATATTGAAAAAATCCAATACGTTCATACATTTTCCGGGCGGGCGCTGGCTTTGGCGATATCGGCAATTGGCAGAGCGGAAGTGTTGGTTGCGACAATGCATTCCGGACGGACGATGGACTCAATCTGCTTGACCACCTGAAGGAAAGAAAGTTTCACAAGCCTTGGAAATCAAACCTTGTGCTTCAGGGAAAGATCTTCAAAGACGGCTTCGATGACAATATCAGCATTCTTCATCCGGCTGTAGTCGGTGGTCGCCTCGAGGTTGGTGACGATCCTGGGCGCAGCTATAGGATAAAAACACAAGTCTTACCTCTCCTTTTCCAAAAGGCTCAGCCTCTTCCGCTTGACAGCCGTGGAAAGATGGGTCAGAATCTGGTTCTGGCCGCGCTCCAAGCCCGACTGGTTGACATCAAGAAGCACCTAAGACATTTAGTTCGGCCAGAAATGACACAAACTCACCGAACGAATGCCTTTGTCAATGGTGACATTGGCAATTCCAGCCCCCATCAAGCCAGCACCGACAACGGCAATCTCCCTAAAAAGGATGTTCGGCTCATTAAAATAACTTGTACTTGACAGGTCGGCCTTCTCCATATTTGTTCTTCTTGCAATCAGTCGATCCATTGAAGAGACCGATCAAGGCGGCTGATTGTGTAGTCTTTGCCAGTTCACCGAAATACTAAAGAAAAAGGTTGTAATGTTTAGCAACAAAACCTGAGATTCCATAGCATAGCCTTTGGCCGGGCCACCGACAATTCCCTCGCGCACGACTTCCAGAATTTTCAATGGCGCCGGATAGTTTCCCTTCGTCAGTTTCATCACCTGAGCAACAGTGTTAGATGTGAGATGCGATATAGTCTTACCTTATCACGGGCCATCTTCAGCACGACATTGTCCAGTACCACCCGATTGTTCGTTACAGCGCTTGTAACACGTTCGAGCAATGGGCGCGTCCGATCGATCTAAATCAGAAAAAATGGAGCGACAACACAAACAATTCTACCTTCAAAGAGCCATTGATGAGATTTTTAGCTGCCGTGACAGCGATCTCTTCAAGATACCTAAACGGCCCGTATGCGTACGCGCAATAACACTTACTTGTGCGTGATTTCCGAAGCGGGTCCCAGTCCATCACCTAGGGGTTCGACGACGGAGTCAACAAGGCCCGCTTGCTTGGCTTTCTTGGCCTTCAGCTTTTTCCCGGTGAGCATCATGTCCAGCGCTGTCGGCAACGCGACCAGCTTAGGCAAGCGCTGCGTTCCACCGGCCCCGGGAAGAAGACCGAGCATCACCTAATTGCAAAAGTGTTTGGAATTATGTAAGTCGATTACCTCTGGCAAGCCGAGTTGCGTCTTCTTGTCGTTGACAGCAATGCGGTAGTGGCAAGCCATAGCAAGCTCCAGACCACCACCCAGGCACGATCCCATAATGGCAGCGACGATCGGCTTCTTCGAATCAGCCAATCGAGCGAACTGCTTCTGGCCCTCGCTGAAAAAGAGTTTAAGAACTACAGAGATGTTTCAAAACATACCTGCTCATCCTCTGTGCGTCAGCGACGTCTTTAGCCTTCGACAACATTGTAATGTCGGCGCCGGCAACGAAGGAATTTGGCTTGCCGGACATCAAGACGATTCCCTTGACCGAATCGTCATTTTCCAATTTGTTGAAGGCTTCATTCAAGTCACCCGACAGCGCCTCGCCCAGGACATTTTCCTAAGGCCAATTTAAATTACTAAGTTTCAATAATACCTTGACATTCGGGATGTCGATTTTCAGCACAGCGACATCACCTTGCCTCTCGACCTTGACAGTGCCTAAAAGCGAAAAATTAAAAGTGGCAACCACTTACAGCCGAATGTCTGCTCAGAAAATAACATACCGGCAGCTAGAGGTGATGAGCGTGATAACGGGCGGGCGGCGAACGCTGGAATCGATTAATATTAGGCTACTAGCAAGGTCAGCCAACTCAGCAAGAACAAACAATTGGATCAAAAAATTACCGAATATCCGCTGGGATTGATGGAGACGGGACAACATCACCTGCGTCTGTTACCCAAGTTTTCTGAAGCAGGATAATAGGGGGCAGAAACTGAGGGGGAAAAGTTGGAAAACAATATATAGAGGAAGCAAAAGATCCACTGATACATCCAATTTCCATTGTTTTAGTCAAAGGTACTAGATACACATTGGCAGGCCTCAATTTCCGCAAATCAAAATTTTAGAAAATAGGTCAAAGTCCGTAGTGATGATCAACAGGGAATTGGGGGCAAAGGACGCCCCAGGCTGGCAGGCCCACGATAAGGGGGCGTGCCTGTAGTCCGTACTCCCAATAGATCGCTTTTACCCTGGGTATTTTTTGTGAAGCCTGGCCGGACCAAAGTAGATGCTGCAATGATACTTCTACAATTTCGAATCAAAAGAGCAAAATGAGACATTTTATAAGAGTCATCCACACTTCAAATAAATTTGACGCCTCGAACGAATATCATCTCGAATCTTTCTCGGACAAATGTATCGTTTATCAGCATTACTCCAGAGGATTAGGGAAATCACATGCACGCGGATAAAAAAAAATCACACACAGAATCAAAGTCTCAAAGTAGCAGTATCACAGTATTAAATCAAATGCACAGATTCACAATTACATTGGCGCATGGCCATAAACCATGTTAATTTAAGTCTTACGATAAGCGAAAGAGCAGAGTGGCTAGGATCCAGTTGTTAGTCGCAAAATCATCCGGTCAATTCCGCGCGCACAAGAGCCATCCTCAAGGAGGCCAGAACATCACGCAGTTCGGTGTCGTTGATCTGCACTCCTTCATCCGCGTAGTACTTCGCAATCTAGGTAACAAATATGGATATCAGAGAAGCACCTACGTTGGAAACGATGGCCTTAGGGCAAGCTTGCAGCCACTCCACGAGCGCGATCGCAACCGGCAGATGCTCAGATTCGACGTGATGAAGATGCAGCAAAACAGAAGGCTGAAAATTAACAAAAATTCAACGATTATATAGAAAATCATACCTCTGCAGAGGCAATGATTCCGCGTTGGTGGAGCATCTCGAATGCCACACGGGCGACAGCGGCCGCGAGGAGAGATGGTTGCTGCTTGGCAGTCGTGAAGTGCGCCATAGCCAAGCATCCCAGTGCTTTCATCAAGGTCCAAGCGCCTTGGAGATTCTTTTCGGCCATCAGATCATGCGTCATGAACTAAAAAAAAGCCTGTAAACGGGGGGACGGGGGGGGAGGGGGAGGGTGAGATTCACCTGGAAAATACGCAGGAAGTGCAGGCAGTGGGTGTGGCTGATGTTGAACTTGAACAGGCGCAAGTGCTCCCTTTCCCACATGCGGATCTTGTTGGTGTCGTACCCATCGACGAAATGGTGGGCCACGCCGTGCAGGTATTCGCACTAAAAAATCTACTTTATGTGCGAAGGGTTTTAAAAACCTTGGATCCAATGTCAACGGCGGCAATAACCATCGTGGCAATATCTTGGTCACGGGCAGTATCAAGAGTCTTTTTATGGCTCTAAAAACAAAAATTAGTATAAAAAAGTAATTTACTTGAATGGTATTATCGATGAGATGCACGGCCAAGAAGAAAGACTCGAGTGGCCTTCGGCGATTTGCAAACACGGAGAAGGCGTAGTCGATGATCAGGCTCCGCTTACGATCAGTGATTGGAAGGGCGAAGTGGGTAGTATTGACCTGAAAGAGATTACAAAAAAAGCGAGACCGACGCACCTGGTGATTGAACACATAGTTGAGGTGGTCCATGTGGAAGTCTTCTTCCCCTTCGTTGGGCGGCGGAAGTGTGACACCGCTCACGGGTCGGTAGATGATCGTCTAAACGAATTATTGAATCAGCAGCTGCCAAGAACACCTTTGCGGACGGGATTGGAGGTGCTTTCGTGAACGGCCGCGTCTCTTTGGCGTTGTTGGTGATTTCTTGGAGACGGCGTCCGAGCGCTCCGAAGTCGAACATGCTCTAAAGATCTGATGTAAAAAGCAAGTATGTCCGGCATCAGAAGGTATGAGGAATCACAAGTTGAATAGGTCTAACCAGGCTCTATAGTTCTTGCGGTGTCATCTAAGCACCATCAATCATCTAAACCAAGAAACGGGGTTAGCAGGATCGAGAGGCAACCCGTATTTAACGCCCTTTCGCGCCCCTTCACGCCCTCCTGTAAATAACGCCCCCTGTATTTCGCGCCCCCTGTATTTAACGCTCTCCTGTAAATAACGCCCTGCAAAACGAGCGTTTTCCTGTAAATAACGCCCTTTTCGTGGTCATTTGGAGGGCGTTAAATACAGGGGCGCGATATACAGGGGGCGCGAAAGGGCGTGAAAGGGCGTTAAATACGGGTTGCCGGATCGAGAGGTCCATAAAAACAAATGGATTTTCGAAAGAGTAGGTTTTTCTCTGAAAAGTGGAATAGACCGTTCGTGAGTTAGCCAGGAGCAACCGAGTATAAATCGAAACGTCGTGGAATTCCGCTGCAAAAAGGTTTTGGTTACGGTAAATGCCCTTTTTTATCGGAAATTGCGGAGTGTTACGGAACCGAGTAGCTTTTTGAAAACGGCGAAAAACGGCTACATTAAATTTAATTATATTTTCACTGTTATCTATATCTTAAATATTATATTAATAAGCACCATCCAACCGGTCGTCTCGCTGCATCTACAGGGTGTCCCAAAAGCACCCCCCTTCTCCCTCCGCGGTCCCTACTTTGCACAAGAGGTATAACAGACCCTAAATAACCACAACCAGAGTTATAGCCGGATTGCTACAGAGTTTTCGAGTTATTGCCAAAATCCTTTTCACGCTTCAACAGTTTTTTCGGCTTCTTTTTGCCTTTGCATCGTTGGCCGCTCCCGCTGCGAATCCCTGTTCCGCTTAATATCGGGGAGACTTTCGGTTACAAAATTGTTGAATTTAACGGTTTTTTGATGATTTTTATCGGAAAAAATTTCTAAGGGTAAAGAACCTCCTTCCTTTTCAGTTGTAGTAATGGGGAATTCCGACGAAAACCTTCGGAAAACGCATAATAAGTTTATTTTTGCTGTATCTCGAAAACTACTGTAGCTGGCGGGATAACGGGATTGTTTTTTTTTTACCAATACCCTGCCCAATTTGGGACCGGGCGGATGTATGAAAAATGCGGGGGGGTCTTTATGGGACACCCCACTTCAGAGGCCTTTTCCATGGCACCCTGCGAGTGCTTGCTTTTTGTCAGGGGTCATCAAAATCCTTGTTACTATGCAGGTCTCGAAGGAATTTGCCCCAACGGTTTGCTTCTCCCGGGATACAAATCGGGCATCTAAGCGACGCACGTTGTTACCGGCAGCCTAATCCTCTAGAAATTCTTTAGTTTTTGGATCGACTTGTTTCAGAACTCCTTTTGGATGGCCGAGCTCGTGGGTTTTTGCCTTTGATGAGTAACGGTTTATAGGCGGATGCCTACCAACTGCAGGAAGTCGTCACGGTTCGCCCGATGTCGGCTCGGGTCACACGGCAGGTTTTGTAGAATTAAACTTTTTTGCAAAAATTTAGTCGCCGACGCCGAGGCCTGTTTCTAGAGATTCCATGCTGACACCTATTCACTCGCCGCAAAGGGAGCGGAAGATGACCACCCGTTAGATCTTATATTTTTGTTTGTTGAGTTAGCCTATTGCAGCTGTTTCCCCGTTGGCCGTCTCGCCGACAACGCCACCTACCATCGCCGACGCCAAACAACTAGGGATTAAAACTTTTGGTTCTTTCGCATTATCGGGGGGATAAACTCTTTCTTAGGATGTGATTTTTCAAATCTAAATAGTGACAGTGTTTCTAAATGGTTTTTTACTAGTCAAGTGAAAACTTTACAAGTTTGTGTT